AAATGAACATTAGAGAGAAATCCGAACTTTTAAGTAGTGAAAGGGTTAAATATGGTTATATGGCACATTTTCTTGTTATAGTATTATAATAACACCTTTAGCTTAAATACTTTCCAAGTCTACTTCCATAGTCATCTTACATCTATCTTATCATAATGTGGAATTTCTTTTTGACATAACCTTGTTCGGTTTCAGTGATTTTCCTCTCTTATTGGATTAAAAGTTACTTATCTCCATATCTATCTGCATTCCTATGTCCAAATATTTCAATTATATTCTCGCCATTCACTTGAACATCTTAACTCCCTTGTACTTGCAATTAGAAAATATCAACACAAACTAATCAGATCATCATCACTTTTATTTTTTTCCGTGCTTTCAAATATGTATATAAAAATGATGTATCACCATTTTATTTTGGTATATTAAATTCCCATGATATAACATTTTTAACTGGGTCCACATTTTGAAAAATTTAACTTATACCCCATCTGTCTGCCTGGGATACACTCTGTAGAGCTGACTTGCATTCTGTCCCTTGATCTCTATGTCTAGCACTAGACTCTCTTTTCAGTCTGGAGGAGACTTGAGAACTCTAAGAGCATCCTGCTACCTTGAGGAAATAATCTGAGCCCAAAGGCTCAACAGCATGGTACCCTGCTGAATCAATACCTTCCAAGTAGGGTCTGCCCATAACACAGCCTACAGAGGAGAGTAGTGCTTAGAGCCCTGAGCTCCACTGTTTATCTCTGGGTATTCTCTTGGGTCCTGAAGAGTCTTATGAGACCCCAATATTCTCCTACTATGACATGTAGGACATGTATAGCCTTGTGAGACCCTAACATCTAAGAGTTTGGAACATTTCCCCACCAATCTGCTGCTAGAGCCACAACCAGCAGAGTCTGGTACCTCGACCTCCATTATCTGGCCTACAACTCTAGCAAAAAGCAGATGCCTACAGTACAGAACACAACGTACCCCACTGTGTTTAGCAGCTTTATTTGTAATAGCCATAAACTGGAAAGTCTACTAGTGACAAGAACTTTAAAAATGTAAGGGATTAATTATATCACTTAACCACTAAAAAAGAAATTGTGCCTCTTCTTTGAGGAATAACGATGTTTTCTATTAACCAATTATGATCAGTCAGAAATGCTGGACAAAATCTAACAGGCCATGTACCAAAATTCAGCAGCTATCTGAATCATAGGACTCATGGTCTAAAGTTTGATATCAGATGTCTTGGTTGCTTACTTTTTCCTAGTCCTATTCTTCCAATCTTTCCAGTCAAAATTCTAAATTAATTGGTTAATTTGTACCTAGATGATATTAAATTCCCATTATTATGTCAGGGTTTCAGATAAATCCTGGAACAAGATTTGAGTCTCATCGTCTCATCTAGGTCACATAGGGTTAGAGTGTATGGTCCCTTATAGATTGAGACAACATATCTATGTAATTGGAAGTAGTTACTTAAAATGTGGTCTCCTATGCTTCAGCTTCTCAAAAAGACTGACAAGGATTGTCTTTCTCAGTGATAGAAAAAAATGGGAAAATAAAGCCACATACATAAAACTATGAGCCACAAAGAAGTTGTTCTGAGAACTCAACAATAAGGAAAACACATTTTGGAATTTTTCTGGACCATCTCAAGGATTGTATAAACCTGTTCCAGTACTGAACATAGCCAGTAAATCATCTGTCAGAGCCTAAAAGGATAACCCCTTCTAAAAGTACTCCATATCATTTCTTTTTTTTTTAACATTTTTTTTAATTTCTTTTTTTTTTGAACATGAAATGCTTTTTTATAGCATGTTTTACAACGGGAGGGGGTAAGAGGGTCCAGGTGGTGGAAAAGTACAAAATCTTCTTGGCCTGTGCCTTGAAACATGTCATGGTCTATATGGTACACTGCCTTGAATTATGATCTACCTGCAGTTCTTCAGAAGATATGGTACACTGCTTGAGTTATGGTCTCCCTGCTATTCTTAAGAAGACATGGTACTCTGCTTTGAGTCTATCTGCAGTTGCTAAGCAGGATCTTGCAGTTGCCAAGCTTCAGAGGACATTGTGCAGGTGGGGAAAGATAGGGGGTAAGGGTAAGGGCGAGGGTCCTGGCTTCTGGCATCTCCCCCTTCTCTGTTTAGTTAGAGAAGGCGTCTTATGTTCAATCCCAACTATGTGAGTTTTGAATTTGGATGTCTAATTATGGGGGGTCTTAGACAAGTTCACAACCCCAAAACACTGATGTGAGACGAGTCACATCGATGGTCGAAGGCTTTAGGCTGTTGACGATGGGCAACGTCAAGGGACTCTGATGTGGGTGAAAGGAGGGTGAGAGCCCTGTCTTAGGCCATGTAGGCTGCACCCATTCCCAGCACCACACACTCCTTTTCGGCTGCATTGGGTGGGCCCCTGGGAAGTGGACATTTCTAATGAATAAAAATGTTGGACCAGGAAAGATGGAGCTTTGAAGTGGCATGATTACTCAAACCTGATAACATCCTGTGGAGATGCTGTATGCTATTACTCACAGCATTCAAGAAAAAAAATTCACTTAAGACTCCATGTATTTCTCCTTTTACTCAATCTACAAAGAATACAGAAATCAGCTCAAAGACATACCACAGAGACTCCCTCTGTTCACAAGATCATGATCTATTCATGTGTCAAACTCTCATATTTGAAATGCATTGCTGAATATGAGTAATGTATATCAATAACTGTAAGAAAATAGATTAATTTCTTGAAATTGGAATAATAGCACCTTACTAAAAATTGTTGAATGGCAAAGTGAAGTTCAACTCTTTTCCCACTTGAATTCAAACTAAAAGGAATACAATAGAGCTTTAAGACACAGTCTTGATGTAAATACATAAAGAAATATTTCAGGGTTGCATAATGATATTACAGCAGTAATTCTTTTCTTCAGTGTTGTTCTTTGAGATTATATCATCCCTTCAATACGGCTTTCTACATTCTAAAGAAAAGCAATCCTAACTAACTAAGACTTTCACTGTTGAATAATTGTATTTTGATTGGCAGAAGCCAGAACATCTGCTGACGAATTCATATTATGTTGGTGAGGGTTCTTCCCTCTTCAGTCATGTATATCAACTGAGTGAAAGTAGGTAAGCTGTCATAATGTTTAACTTGTAGAAAAAAATGCACTTGACTAAAGAATTCCAGAAACTAATTTCAGCAGGTCAAGGTGACTTGCATTTTTTCAGACAGGGACAAGAAAGACAAAAAGAAAATAGGATCATAACAGACCTTTTCCACTATGCTCATCTCGCTGCCCTTTGCATCACCTTATAAAAGCACATTCAAACATTTTACCTACCTGGGTTGGCTTTTTCTTTGTGTGTGTGTGTGTGTGTGTGTGTGTGTGTGTGTGTGTGTTTAGTAATTGGAAAAGTATGTCTTTATAATCTTCCAAGGTCTAGTACTTGAAAACTCTTGTTTATTCCCCTCCAATTACCTCACATATATTGGCTTTAGTACAGCAAGTAAACAAACTATATTTGTATCCAAAAGTACCTTTCCACACTACAGAAAATACTTCTCCTGATTACCATCAAGTAACTTGACAATCAGCATACTTGATACTTTCATTTCAAACTTATTAACAAATTTTTTTCTTCTCCCTCACAAGTGGGATTTAAGCACACTCACGTGGATCCTTCTGCTCTGGTTGTTAACCTTCTTTAGTTCTGTAGATTGTATTGTTGCTATTCAGAATATTTAGCTATTATCCACTTATAAGTGAATACATACCATGCATGTCCTTTTGATTCTGAGTTAGCTCACTCAGGATACTTTCTAGTTCCATCTACAGAGGGAGGGAGGGACCTGGGTGGGAAAGGGAGGGAGAGAGAAAAGGGGGAAATGATCAGGCATGGGGGAGGTGACAGAAGAGAATCCCTGAGGGCCAGCAGAAGGAATGGAAATATGAAACTCCAGGGTGTGGGAGGCGGGGAAACCCTCTAGAAAGTACCAGAGACTCAAAAGGTGAGAGACTCTTGGGACTCAATCGGAGGGACCATAGGTAAAATAACAGTGAGGAGAGGGAACTTGTAGAATCTACCTCTACTAGAAAGACAGAACATCAAGTGGAGGGATGGGGATGCCATCAGTCAAAAATTCTGACCCAGAATTGTTCCTGTCTAAAAGAACTAAAGACATACGAAGAAGAAACTGAGGGAAAGTGGGTCCAGATCCTGGACCAAATTGGTACTCATCTCAAGGGGATGCTCCAAACCCTGACACTATTACTGATACTATGGTGCACTTACAGACAGATACCTATCATAGCTGTCTTCTGAAAGGCCCAACAAGCAGCATAATGAGACAGGAGCATATACTTAAAACCAACCATTGGAGTAAAGTCAGGGACCCCTGTGGTTGACTTAGGAAAAGGCTGGAAGAAGCTGAGGCCAAGGATGACCCCATAAGAAGAACAAGCAGTCTCAACTAATCTGGACCCCCATGATCTCTCAGACACTGAGCCAACAACCATATAGTGTACACTAGCTGTTCCTAGGCTCCCAGATACATGTAGATCAGAGGGCTGCCTGGTCTGTCCTCAGTGGGAGAAATGCACCTAACCCTTGAGAGACTTGAGGTGCCTGGGAGTTGAGAGGGCTGTCTCAGAGTGACGGGTAAATCCTCTTGAAGACAGGAGCCAGGAGGAATGGGATAAGGAGCTGCGAGAGGGAGGACTGGAGTGTAAAAAATGTAAAAGTAATTTAAAAAAAGGTATTAACAAGAAATCTGTTTGGTATGAATCTGTTTAGAAAGAAGTGACAATTCCACAGAGTAATTCAGAAGTTAATTATTATCAAACCCAAGTTAGGATCAGATTTTAAAAACTTATGTAAAGAATAAATGAATTCCAAAGGCAACATCCTGTTTGACAGGATTTTTCACAAATTGACAGAGAAGTGTCATAAAGAAAAACTGTATTTTTCAGTACTTGAAAGAGCAAACAAGGCATAACCATGCAACTCTTGAGGGCACTAGGATTCTTCCACATAAACATGCTCTTACTTAGTGCCACTCTGGGGACAGGGAATTTTGTGACTCCTAAAGAAGTATTAAAATACTCCTCACTGAACATTCCTGTCTTCTTAAGTATTTTGGCAGGCTGTGGCTTGCTGACCATAATGAATTCTCTTTGTCTTGCAGAGATGGCAACCATCTACCCTGTGAGTGGAGCACCTTATTATTTTCTCAAAACAACTCTTAGATCATCAGTTGCTTTTCTCAGTGTCTGGATTAAACTTTTTCTCATTTTCTAGCCATTGGTGCTCAGTGCTTGCTATTAGCTAGTTCTCTAATCCAGTGTTTCTATTCTGGATGCCCAGCTCCAGAGCTAGCAACAAAATGTCTGGCTTTGGCTATTTTGTGGTCAATTAGAATTCTCAGTGCTCAAGGGATGAAAACAGTGGCTTGGTTTAATACTACCAGCAGTTTTATGAAGTTGAGTATTCTTTGCCTCATTTCTTTAACTGGGATTGTGCTGTTAGTGATTGGCAAAAAGGAGAATGTGTCCAGATTTGAGAATGCTTTGGATGCTGATGTTCTTAATGTCTCACAGATTGCAGATGGAATTCTCCAAGGGTATGCAGCCCCATGGGGAGAGCAACAATACCAACCAACCAGAGCTCCCAGGGCCTAAATCACCTACCTGGGAACACACAGGAAAGGACCTGTGGCTCCAGCTATATATGTGGGGGAGGATGGCCTTGTTGGGCATAGGTGGGAGAGGAGGTCCTTGGTCACATGAGGGCTGGATGCCTCAGTGTGGGGGAATTCAGGGGAGGGGGAGGTAGGAGTGGGTGGGTGGGTGGGAGTACAACCTCACCGAAGCAGAGGGAGGGAGATGGGATGGGGTGTTTTGGGGGTGTTGATGGAGAAAAGAAAAAAAAACATCTGAAATGTAAATAAATAAAATATCCAATAAAATAATAATAATAATAATAATAAAGTCTTCAGTGTTATTTCTCCATTCCTGTATCTTCCTTTTTTGTTATTCTATTCTAACATTTTTAAGTTTTTATGTATACTCTAAATATCACTTCTCTATCAGACATAAGGCAAATTAAGTTGTTTCTTCAATTTTATAGGCTCCAGTTTCATTGTTTTTATGTTTTTCTTTACTTTAAAAATGATTTTGTTTGTTTGATGTTTGGGGATTTGTTTTTAAATTTTGCAATGTCTTATTCATCAATTTTAGGTCTTAATTCCTCTACTACTAGAGTTCTTTCATATTCAGAAAGTTTTTATCCTTGTCTACCAAATGAACCCTTACTTTGTCATCTAACTTATTCAGAATACCAAATCTCTTGTTGAACTTCTTGTACCATTTAGCCTTCAGTTTTTTTGTAAAGTAAAAGATAGAGATCTAATTTAATACTTCTATATGTATATTTCCACATCCATTTCTGAAAGATGCATTTTATTCATTGTAAGATCTCTTTTTCTTTCTTTGTCAAAAATCATATGGTAATGGGGTGTCAGCATATATCTGGACACTTAAATCTATTTCTCTTATAAATATATTTGATATCTGGTAGCTCTTTGGGGTTTGGTGAGGTTTTTGCAGTACCATGCTCTTTTTATAGCCATGACTCTGTAAAAATAACATAAAATGAGAACTTCTGATGCTATCAGCAATGTTTTCATTGTTTGAGATTATTTTATCTATCTTGGTTATTTATTTTTTCAATATAAATTTCAATTTTTATGTAATTTCTCTGAAATTTTGTTTTGAAATTCTTTTTCTATATCCTTGTGTTTTTCTGATTAATTTGTTTCTTCAGTTATCTCAAGTTTTCTATGTTCAGATGTTTTACTTCCTTGGTTAAATTTATTTCTAGAAGGTCTTGCAGTGATCATAAATGTAGTGAGCATAATTTCTTTTAGCATGTTTTCTTCACTATCACAGATGGTTGTGCTGTATATCATATTCTTGACGGGCAAAGATGGTCTTTTCTTTGAACTTTTTCAGTTTTGTTAAGAAATCAGCTGTCATTCTGATGCAGTAGGATTTTATTTTAAATAAATGACTTGGAGTTTCTCCCTTGCAGCCTTTAATATATATTCTTCATTCTGTATATTTATATTTTATTATAAAATGTCATAGGAGATTTTGTTTCAGTAATCTCTATTTGGTGTGCTATATGCCATTTGCACTTAGAGTCAAATCTTTTTTCCCTAGATTTTGGGAAACTTTCTGTGATAATTGCATTGAAAACATTTTCTATGCCTTAACATGGAGTTCTTCTTTTGTGATCACAATTTATAAATTTCTTCTGCTCATGGAGTTTCACAGATTTTTTTGGTTCTCTTATTTTCTTCATTTAATTTCATGATTTCTCTTGTCTTTCTCAATTATTTTTAGCTTATTTTTCCTGTTTTGTGGAAATGTGGCATCTGCTGGTAATTTGTTGTGGGTACTCTCACTCTCCTAAGACTACAGATTTTATTACATGAAGAGGATAATGTTTCAGCTTGTGTGTGTTTCCCAGTGTATTGTCTATGAGAAGCAACAACAGTACAGAGATAAGTATAGAGAAACTATCGCCTAACTTTCAAGACAAATGAGTATTAATCACTGTACTGATTCTGTTTTGAGTATTACATACATCTCTGGGACCTCAAAGTTCTCTGGGTCTTCATCAAGGAAGGAAAGATAGTTGACTCCACAGTTTGGCCCCAAGATTAAATGTACCAAACTCCAAAATGATTTTAAGTTGATTTTAAGTTAATGCATTGCTGATCACAAACTAAATACACACACATGCACACATACACACACACAGAGAGAGGGGGGAGGGAGAAGTGGAGGAGGGTTATAGAATGGCTACAAAAGTCTAAAGTATTTGCAGCAGAATTCAAGGAGTTTCAAAAAGATCTGAGAAACAAAATCCAGGAAACTGATTGAGATGTAAAGAGTTTATCTGGAAATAAATAATGAATGAGGCTAGAAGTCAACTGGAGATGATGATGATGATGATGAATGTTGATGATGATGATGACAACCCTAGGATAAAACAACTGGATAGAGGTTACCTGAACCTCACATGCAAACCACACCACAAACATAAGTTTTGCAATGTACTAGGCTGTAAATGTAAAGGGTAGAATGTGTTCAGTTGAATATAATGGGTGAGTAAATAGGCAGTAAAGTAGGGCACAGTTGACAGACTGACAGAAATCCAAGTGTAGTGCATCAACAATGAGGAAAGGGCCAAAATGATGGTGCTCGGATAGTTGAAAATTCTGTGTCTGTTAGTCCTTTAATATACTTACACATAGCCAGATAATAGCTCAGTTGTGTTGTCAGAAACACAACTGAGTGTAAGGTGTCCTCCTCTTAATAGAATTTAGGTAAGAGTGTTTCTATTTTTTTCTTCTGTATAGTGTACCCAGTCACTCCATAATACTGGATTTCCTGCTATGGTTTCAACTTTATGAGATTCTATATTTCCAAATAAGTGATAAATGTATGTGGTTGCATCTGTTATACAAATGTGTTATTGATCTGTCTTTGCCTTGTGAATGGTGCTAGGCATACAGTATTGTTTATAGTTTCCACTAAGGTACAATGTCATCCTAGTTTTGTCTTTGTATTCACAGTTGAAGTTAAAAAACTGATTTAAAATAGAGACTCTGAGCTCAGGACATTGATAGTAATATATATATATATATATACATATCTATATATATATATATATAGATATATATATATTTGTAGATTATAGAATAACAGCACAGGAAAAACCTTGCTCCCATACCTCAAATTCTTTAAATTTTGATGATCTCAGTTGATGAGACTCTTTTGTTATACAAGTAGGTTAATATACAGTTTTCAGCTGATAAGATGAGGACTTTAGTGCTTTCTTCACTTGTTTGCTATTTCTTTATGAGTTTTATACTATATCTTTTGATAATATTCAAGTCTTTCCAATTCTATTTCCCCTTCCTTATACATCCAATTTTATGCCTATTTTTTCTAGTCCTTTATTTCCAATTTGAGCTGCTAAGTAATCTTAGATGTGACATCTACCACTATGGTATAGTAGACTTTCCCAAAGCTATCCTATTAGATAAAACATTCTTGCCCCGTCCCAGAAGCTAGCAATTGTCTATTGCACCATAACTGCGGTGAGATTGTGTGTACAACTTCCCTCTCCATGCTAAGATTGGTTGCAGTTTTATATTTGCTGTAACTACTGCTTTGAGTACAAATGTGCACCTACCCTGCTCTCACCAGAAGATATTTTCTTTTACATTTTTCTATTACCTTATAAATATACCATTAAATTTTTGTACATTTTTTCTAAATGGTTGTTTCAACCTACTAAATATGCTATGCTATTCCCAAATGTTGATTCAAATGACAACAATGGCTAGTAAATTCACCATATAAAGTTTTATTCCTAAACCTTTGATTCACCCACTGTTTTCTCTCTCACTTATAATAGTGATAGATTTATAATATGTTGCATCCAGTTTTACTTATCAGTTTCTTATACCTTATAATGGTACAAATTTTAAAATAAGAGTTCTAGTTCTAAAAAAGCTTCTATTTGTACTTTAATGTGATTGAATAGAAATTGAAGTTAATTTGGGGAAACTAATAGATACTGTCATGATGACACATAATTCACCATTCACTTTAACCAGTAGCATTTCTATTTTTAGTGTTTATCATTTACAGCCAGTGAGTCTTTTCATTAATTCTCTGAGAATTTTGTAACTGTATCAAGATCATATATCCCCCTTCACAACTTCTTTCAGATACACTCACCCAATTTTCTCTCTCCTATTTTATCACTCATCAAGTTGAACTTGTACATTAATATATTCTTGAATATGTACTCTTCACTGACGTGGAATGAACTTTCCAGGGACAGCATCAATTTTTTTTCTTTTTATTCTTTTACAAGTACTATTTTTATTTTTTATTCTTTTTTTCAATTTTTATTGGTTGTTTTACTTATTGACTTTTCAAATGTTATCCCTCTACCCAGTTTCCACTCTAGAAAACTTCTATTCGCTTGCTCCTTCACCTGACTCTATGAAGGTGCTCCCCTACCTGCCCACCCATTTATGCCTCAGTGCCCTAACATTCCCCTACCCTGGGTCATCCAGCCTCCACAAGACCAAAGGTCTCCCTCCCAGTGATGCCTGATAAGGCAGTCTTCTGCTACATATGAAACTGGAGCCATGAGTGCCCACATGTGTACTCTTTGGTTGGCAGTTTAGTCCCTGGGAGCTCTGGGTGGGGGAGGGGGAGGTTGGTTGATATTGTTGCTGTTCCTATGGGTTGCAAACCCCTTCAGCTTCTTCAGTCCTTACCCTAACTTCTCCATAGGGGTCCCCATGCTCAGTCTGATGTTTGGCTGTATATATCCACATCAGTATGGGTCAGGCTCTGGCAGAACCTCTTGGGAAAGCTATACCAGACTCCTGTCAACAAGCGCTTCTTGACATCAGCAATAGTGTTGAAGTATGGTCTCTGCAAATAGGATGGATCCTTATGTTGGGCAGTCTCTGGATGGCCTTTCCTTCAGTCTCTGCTCCATACTTTTCCCCTGCACTTCCTTTTGTCAGGAGTAATTCTAGATTAATATTTTGGAGGTGAGTAGGCCTATCACTCAACCCAGGCCATGCCTATCCACTGGATATGGTCTCTTCAGGTTCTTTCTCCCTTTTGTTGAGTATTTCAGATAGTGTCTTCCCTGTTGGGTCCTGGAAACCTCTTGGGTGAAACCCAGCCTTTGTCCGTGGTGATCTGATAGGATGCATTGGATTATTTCAATTTCCTTGTATTGGTTGAGGCTTGTTTTGTGTTCGATTACATGGTCAATTTGGGAGAGGGTACCATGAGGTGCTGAGAAAAAGGTATATTCTTTTGCTTTAGAGTGAAATGCTCTATAGATATCTGTTAAGTCCATTTGGTTCATAACTTCTGTTAGTTTCACTGTGTCTCTGTTTAGTTTCTATTTCCATGATCTGTCCATTGGTGAGAGTGGAGTGATAAAGTCTCCTACTATTATTGTATGAGGTTCAATGTATGCTTTGAGATTCAATAATGTTTCTTTTACAAATGTGGGTACCCTTGCATTTGGGGCATAGATGTTCAGAATTGAGAGTTCCTCTTGGTGGATTTTTCCTTTGATATGTGTGTAGTGTCCCTCCCCATCTTTTTTGATAACTTTTGGTTGAAAGCCTATTCTATTGAATACTAGAATTGCTACTCCAGCTTATTTCTTGGGATCATTTGCTTGGATTCTTTCTAGCCTGTTACTTTGAGGTATTGTCTGTCTTTGACACTGGAATGTGTTTCCTGTACACAGCAAAATGCTGGATCCTGTTTATGTTTTCAGGCTGTTAGTCTATGTCTTTTTATTGGGGAATTAGGTCCATTGAGGTTCATAAATACTGAGGATCACTGATTGTTGTTTCCTGTTATTTCTGTTGTTAGAGGTGTAATTATGATGTGTGGTTCTCTTTTTTATTGGGGGGGGGTTGTTGTGAGAATAGTTTCTTGCTTTTTCTTGGGTATAATTCCTCTCCGAGGAGTTATCCTTCTATTATCCTCTATAGGGCTGGACTGGTCTCACCTGTGATCTTAGGTGTGCCTATTTTTCCTCTTTTACAAAAAATAAATTCTTTTCTCATACAACATATGGTGATTACAGTTTTCCATCCCTCTATTGCTCCCAGTTGCTCCCTACCTATTCTCCCATTGGATACACTCCCTCTCTGTCTCTTATGAGAAACCAAAACAGGCTTCTAATAAAAAACAATAAAATATAACAAAATAAAATATAATAATAAAACAAAACCTTGATGTGATCATCAAGAACAGACAAGGCAATCCAAGGGAAAGGAGAGAGCACTACTAGAAGGCAGAAGTTGGCTGGAGTGATGATTAATCTTTAAAAATAGGTTCATATTCAAAAGTATAAGAGAAAGCACAGGAATCAGAGGCTAACTTTTTCACATATTCTGATGTCCCATAAAAGTAAAAAATTGAAAACTATAGTATATATGAAGAGGATCTAACGCAGACCTTTGAAGACCTTGTACTTGTTGCTTCAGTCTCTGTGGATTTGAATGAGACTTACTCAGTTGATTGAGAAGTCCTTGTTCTCCTGGTGTCTTTCTCTATTCTTATATCCTTTCTGTTACATTTTCATTGGATTCCCTGAACTCTGAGAGAGGGGATTTGATGAAGTCATTTCATTTAGAGCTGTGTTTTCCAAGATTTCTCTATGTATATATTATGCATGGCTGAGGGTCTCTATATTTATTTCCACCTGATGCAGGAGAATGCCTCTCTGATGACAGAATAATAAGGCACCAATATACAGGTCTTAGAAAATGTCATTAGGAGACATTTTATTGTTACATTTTATGTTTTTATAAAAGTACTTTTTTGTCTTATCCTATGTTCCTGGGCTGTCTAGTCTCTGGTTTTTAGTTACCCAAACAGTGTTTTGTGCAGGTTTGATCTAATGGAGTATGTTTTAAATCACACCAGTTATTGATTTGTTACTCCCACAAACTTTGTGCCACCAGTCATCTGGCAATTTTTGCAGACAGGATATATTTTGGACCAATTGTTTTGTATCTGAGTTGGAGTTTACATTTCCCTTTTCAATATCTGAAAATTTCCTTCTTATATCAAGGTCTTTAGCTGTGGGTGTTTTATATAGGTACCAGTTTAATCTCTCGATGTTCATGGAGTTCTGTGGGTATTTTCTTCAGCCTTTGCTGTCCATTTGTGCAGAGCAACCTGTTCTGTTTTCAATAATCTGTGTTGTGTGGTGCTTTCTATGGGATACTTTCAGACAACATAAATTGGATGCAATGCAGTACTGGAAGATTTCTTTGATTATAAGAGATGGACAGATGAGGCTTCATCTCCCTCATAATTTGGAGATTTCTTAGAATTGTCTAAAATAATAGAATTGTCTTTGTATGTTTTTACATTTTCACTGCACTATTTTCATAACCTTCAAATGCTCCTCAATTCTAGATGTCTCTTTCCACAATTACTCCTTCAATCACACCTATTCCTTCATTATCTGATTCCATCCCATTCTCTGGTCCCAGGTAACCTTAAAATTCTATTCAATTTCCCCTGTTTTCAGGAAATATATGTGTCTCCCAATTCCTTCCTCTACATATAACCTTTATGGGTCAACAGATTCTAGCTTGCTTATCACTTATGCAATGGTTAATATCCATATATAACAAAATATAAACCATATTTATCTTTCTGAACCTGAGTTACCTCATCACTTTATTGTTATCCATTCTTCTGTTAAAAGAAATATCAGCTGTTTCCAATTTAGGACTAATATGAATAGAAAAAAATGAACATGTTTAAGCAAGTGTCCTTGTGATAGGATATAGTGTCCTATTATGGCAAAAAGATGCATTACTGAACAGAACATCATTAACACAAGCTGTAAGATTAACAATTAATGAGACCTCATAAAACAAAAAGGCTTCTGTAAGGTAAAGGACACCATCGTGTAGAGAATCTGGTAACTACACAATTGGAAAATATTTCTTCTAACTTTACATCCAGTTGAATGATTAGTATACAAAATATATAAAGAACTGAAGAAAAACAATATTATAAAATGATCCAATTAAAAAGTATAGTACAGATGAAAACACATAATTCTCAATATAAGAAACACATGTGGCAGAGAAAACTTAAAGAAGTAATCAACATCTTTAGTCCTTAGTAAAATGGAAATCAAAATTACATTGAGATTCAATCTTATGCTTGTCTGAATGGCTATGATTCAAGTATATCTCAGCAAGGGGAACATTCATCTATTGATGGTGGGAGTAAAAAAAATTGGTGGGGGAAAAATTGGTGAGTTTTATGCTCTGGCAGGCAGCATAAACCTGGGACAGTTGGACATAAACTTGAGATAGATTAAAGTCTCATGTAATAGCAACTTTTGTTCAAAACATCAGGCAATTTATACTCTGAGAATTAAGAAGAATCACATAAGTAAGAAAACACATTACAAGAACAATTTTTTGTTTTGAAATTTTCAAGGAATCAAAGAGAAACACAACTACATAAATCGTCTGTTAAAAATAATCAATCACATTTTAACAACTAAATTATAGAACAAGTAATACATGTAGTAATAAAAGCTAAAATAAAGGAAAAAAGGAAGATGAGGACATGAGTAAAGAAAAAGATGAGAATACATATGAACAAGCAAAGCAAGAACACAAAGATAGATACTATGCACAGATGTTTCATCTTTCAAAACATACCTACATCTTTGCAATAAATTCAGCTGACCAAATAGGCAACAGCTTCTTATTTTCTTAGATGCAGAAATGAATGTCAAGAAGATAGGTGAGGCTATCCTTTACATCCATCTGCAACTGGACAAATAAGTGAGTGAAAAACACTTCTCAGACACATTCTCCACATTGTAGCACACTGTTATAGTCTAGTATGTTGTTAATGTGAGCAGTAATTTAGTAAATATGAGCAACAATTTTCATGATTTGCTCTTCAAAAAACAGTCACCACAATCTGACTAAGAGGTGAACGCGTCATCAATTATTGATTATTGTCTGGGCTTTGTTTATACTGGTAAGTTGTCAAAAATATATTAAAAACCCTTTCCTGAGAAGTAAATATCTATTCTAGTTGGATGCAAAGCTTTAGTTTTCCCATCCATGAAAATTCTGAGTAAAATTCTGTTCCACAATAGATTCATTGATTTTAAACAGAGGGGCACACATAGTTTTTCTGTAGGAGAGTTTCATTCACATATAGATGGTTATAAAATGACAGAGATGCGTAAGGAAGGATTGGTAGCAAATGCCTACTCAAAGAAGACATACAAGTATATCTGCAAAACAGGGACTTTAAAAGGAGTTATTTGAGGGAGGCATGGCATTTCACAATTTTACAACTCATTCTACACTATATTAGCTGAGTTTTAGACCATTTATACTGGGATATCTCTATCAAGCAATGCAAGAGCTCCACAAATAGTATGTCCTTTTTTTCTGAATTATCACTGACAAAAAAAAGAGGATTTTGCTAACATATGAGATAGGCAAGATAACAATCAGGAAAACAAGAATTCATTTTTCTGCGACTGAGTTGTCTTGATGTTCACAAATATCCACTTCTAATGTGCTTTACTGGGCAAAACCCAATCACATGACACAACATATGTAAGCAGTAAGAGACTCCTCTTAGAAAGAATTTGCCAAGTTAAAATGTATGGCTACAGGAAAAAAAAGTTCTTCTATTTTAGGTCAAGCAAAAAACAACTTTGACATTCTGAATTTTCATTTAAACTTTGTAGATTCAGTTGGTGTCACATGGATGAATGGAGTCTTTCCTTCCATACAATGGATAATTTCTTTGTTGATCTCAGCTTTCTACTTGGTTCCATTTCTTGTGGAATAGTTGCAGCATCGAGAATATTCTACTCTGCAAGTCAAGAGGGACAATTTCCTTTTATCTACTCAGTGCTTAATGACCATCACATTCCAGTTGTGGCTGTGAACCAGATTATTATTTTATCTTCTGCTGCAGTAATATTTTCAAGCACGATCTATTTTGTGAAATATGTTAGTCTAGGAGTATCGGGAACAAATTTGCTGCTGCTGATTGCATTGTTTAAGCTAAGGTACCAGAACCCTGATCTACCAAGACGTTATAAGGTAAGTCAACATTTAAATACTAGAGTTGAATATCATCTTGTTCAAGCTCTGTGATAATCTTCTAATCAGCTGCAGACCCCGCATATGAAGCAACTGCCCTATGCCTTCCTTTCCAGCTTTTGTGACAAGAGATATTTGAGGATTCCATTTTAGTGTATGAAATGTGAAAACTGATACACTTCAGAAAAGACAGATATTATCATTATCTTTTTGAGACCAAATACCAATACTATTGAGAAGACAATAGCTTCCATGCTCAAATGAACTCACATCATAATACTAATATCTCAATAATATGATCGAGGTAGCTTCCTCTTCTTGCTTATTTTCTTAGTTAATATTTTATTTAATTCAAGATTTTAAGAGAAATCATAAATGAGTTTCATTTACATTTTCTTTGTAATGTGTAAGTCATACATTAATAAAATATAAATCTAAGGATGAGCCATCATCTTTGATTTCCTTCTCAGTATTCCCATAGATTTAATCAAGACTTGAACTTTTATTCACCAGATATAATTATCATCTCAGAAGCATTTCACGGTTCCTGAGATAATATTAAAATATAAAAACTCATATATTATTACAGTAAGCATAATTAGCACGTCAATATGGTTAATAAAATCCATATTCACAGATTTTCCCCTAGAGATCTGATTCATTCAGTCTCTATTGGCCAACAGAAATGTGTATTAATATCAGTCATCTTGGGATTCCTACAAACAGTGGATTACTGACCATGTTTTGAGAAATGTCACAATATAACAGATTCCACATTTTTCTTTTTTTTTTAATCATGTCCTCTTCAAGTGTATCCTATACTAACAGAGGTAAATGAAATAATGGATATGTTGTATACACCAGCTATATTTCAGACATTCATGTACATGATTCAGTAAATGGGTGAAGTCAGAGAATAAGGAGACAGAAGATTAGAATAATTTTAACAAGTTAGTTTGAGGCAAAGCAGAGCAATTCAATGAGAAGTCTAGCAAAGTCCTATTGAATCAGACACCTTAGAACAATGTCTGAGACAAAATGGTTGAGTTGAACTAGTTATCCAGAGTTCAGAAAGAGCTAGATACTGTGAGCTTATCCAGAAGTGAGGCTCCAAGATGACAGTTATATCTGGTGAATTAAAGTTGCTTTTACAAATGGGAATAGACATAATTTTTAGATTTACTATGTTTATATCAGAGTAAAAAGGAAATATATACACATCACTCAAGGTCAATATAAAAGTTTTACTTCGTTGAACAAAATCTAGTGAATGTGATGCTATCATATAAACTTTAAATATCAAAATCAAGTGAAATGCCAATTTTTAAATATCTATTTAATAATTTTATGTATATGAATACACCATAGCTGTCTTCAGACACACCAAAATAGGGCATTAGATATCATTACATATGGTTGGGAGCCATCATGTGGTTGCTGGGAATTGAATTCAGGACTTCTGAAAGAGCAGCCAGTGCTCTTAAACTGAAAACATTAACTTTCTGACAGTATGAAGTCACTGAAAGACTGAGCAATAACTGTTGTAAAACTGTTGAATTAAATAAGGCTTACACCTACATTAAGAACACCTTTGTTATCAGACATTATAAAATGAATATACAGAAAATACTCATAGTGAAGAAAATGAAGTCTTCTGTGTAACAACATAATGTATAAAACTGAGAGATATCCCTAAAAACACAAAAGCTAAACATGTTCTTGTGATATTAGAATTCATTTAGGCACAATTGTTCCTACAAAGAGAAAGAACTAGACTGAGAAACACTGTCATGCGACAATAAATAGAACAAAAAATTGAGATGGTACCTCCATAAGAGACAGAGAACAGCACTTGCCATTGACACATAGAATTGAAGGTAAATTAACCAGGCTCTCTAGTACATTCAAAAGCCAATCTCTTGTAAAAAAAACTTTCTATATCATGAAAAATCAGTATTTGTGTGAAAGAATATTTAGAAGTAATATCCTATTCTATGAATATTACTAAGGAGGAATCATTTAAATTTGTGCATTAAATATACTGTTCTTTCATATATTGGTAGGAAATGTAAGTAGAAAACAGGTACTGTGGGGAAAAAAACAGAAAATTCATCCTCCGTGACATCCTAGTATGCCAAAAGACAATTATAAATGTATTAATCAGGTATGAGGGAGTCTCTGAGTTAACTTTGAAACAGAATATAGCTAGGTGTCTAAAGTAATTTAGATGAACTCTACTTGGGAAATTGCTCTCTAGAAAAAAATAAATTATAACACTTGGGTTGAAGCAACATTGACTTTCAGAATGCTTGGAAAGCATATTCAAATAAGCTCACAGTCCACTAGTTCTTCCATTGAAAACATCTTCTCAGAAAGGACCTCATCCTGAGAATTGAACTATTCATAGACTCTTCTGTTGCTAGTAATGAATATGATACTGTCTGTTAAACCTTCAGATGTTTACTTGATTACAGAGTCCAAAGGAAATTACTGATGGATATTACCAGCAAATTTTAAATAAGATTTTTAAGTCAAGTGATTATCAAAGTGTTTCAGCCATCCAGAATATTGATGTATTGCTAAAAGCACCTCTTTAAAGAGACACCAAAAATCATAAAATCACCATCATGTTCTACTTTGTAATTATACATTCCAAACCATGATCTTGTTAAGATATTACACTAAGATACTTGTTAGAGTTACATATAAATTGCTAAGTTGTAGGTGAGGAAGCACCAGAAATATACTTCTTAGAATGGAAAAAGGACAAATATTAGGAGTGATAGAGATGTTCAAAAGAAAATCCACATCTTTTTGTAACATATAATATAATACTGGATTTTGAAAACCCATTCACATCAAATTATTTTAGATCACTCATCAGAAACACTACATGTTTTGAAAGCATAAGATGTTATATTTCAAACTCTGAATGAACATAACTCCTGATAGTAGAAAAGAAGATAATGAAGGTAATGAAGGAGACACAAGGGAGAGAAGTAAATATTATTTAAAAGAAAAGGGTGGGGTTATACAACAAAACAAGTTTTGTTTGAAAGTAAATAACAGCTAAGCAAGTTTGATATATCCACCAAAACTATCTTTTAAAACTAATGGGGGCAATAAGGACATTTCAAGACAAATCATCAATCTGTGGGGAATGTACTTAAAAGAATACTATATGTAGCTGATCAAGAAAGACTATCTGTAGCCTGACACCACCATAAAGGATACACTTCATGGGAGAAATATAATCACAAAGAAGAAATAGAAATGAATCCATCATTACTAACATGGTTAACAAACAAACTCGTCTTTCAAAAAAAAGAGAAAAAAGAAATCCAGACAACCAGAAAAATTATTTTAGTTTTTAAGTCATTCCTAATGTTAAATCAAGTGCAAATAGCATACACCAACAAAACTGTGGAGACTATAATGTGTTGGTAAACTACTTCTGAACATGCAACCTCTCCTAGAATGGTTGATGTACCCAGTATTACACTACTGAAAAAAAATTGACTTTACATCCCCTAGCAAGTCTAAGCAATAGCACAGCTGTTAACCTTTACCCTAGTGGCTATGTTTCATTCATTCCTTTAAACATATAACCAAATACAATACAAAAAGATTTAAAAAAAAACAATTACATTGAAGTTGGGCAATATGACAGTTCACAAACATCTGTAAGTCTGTTTGTAACTCTAGTCTGGTGACTTCAACACCACTCTTTTAAGCTCTCAAGATAACAATCATTAATATTTACACATGTAATGTAAATATACATGCCAACAAAAACTTATATGTATAAAATAATATGAAAGTAAAAAAAAATATCTGGATTCTACCTCTTGAAAGTCATAAGCCATACAGGCTCTAGAGATTTCCTTTACATTCAGAAATAATCCAGTCAGACAAATACTGGCTTAAAATTATTTTGAGATGCAAAACATTTATAAAGTCTGGGTCATGAAAAAACCAGATCTAGGAATATTAAGATTGAAAGAATGAGATAGAAAACAGCATATAGGCCCAAAAAATATTGTCAAAAAATCACAGAAAATTTTTTTAACTTAAAAACAGAGATGCCTAAGAAGGTACAAGAAGAATACAGAATGACAAATAGATTGTTATAGATAATAAAGTCTTCTAGGCTCATAATAATCAAAACACTAAACATACAAAACAAGAAAAGAATATTAAATACTGCAAGGAAAAAAGATCAAGTAACACATAAAGTCAGACCTATTGGAATTACACCTAACTTCTCACTGAACAGGCTAAATACAAGAATGTCCTGGACATACATGCTATATACCCTAAGAGAGAACACATGTCAGCCCAGACTAATAGACCCAGCAAAACCTTTAACTACCATAGATGGAGAAAATAAGGTACCCCAAGTATCATGGTTTGAATATGTTTGGCCCAGGGAATGGCATTATTTAAAGGTGTAGCCTTGTTGGAATAGTTGTGTCACTGTGGGCATGGGCTTTAAGACTTTCATCCTAGCTGCCTGGAAATCAGTATTCTCCTAGCAGCCTTATAATGAAGATGTAAACTCTGCCTGCCTGGATGCTGCCATGTTTCCACCTTGATGATAATGGACTGAACCTCTGAACCTGTAAGCCAGCCCCAATTAAGTTTTGTTCTTATAAGAATTACCTTGGTCTAGATGTCTGTTTACAACAACAAAACCCCAAGTCACCATGATAAAACCAAATTTAAGCAATAGTTATCTACAAATCCTACCCTATACACAGTACTAGAAGAAAAACCCAGTACTCAGCTCTCTGCTGTTTTGACAGTCAACAATTAAGCATGCATAGACAATTGTCATATAGTTTACAAGAGGTTACCCCACAAAATATGTGTGACTGTTTTTCCATTTCTTTGTTTTTGATGGTTTATATCATTTATTTATGGAGTTCTCATGATTATAATTTTTAAAAAAGGTAGCACCAATAATCTTCCAATATTCCACAAAAGAGAAACATAGACCAATTCATTTCTGAGGCCACAGTTATCCTGACAACCAAATAAGACAAAGAATCAACAGAGAAGGAGAGTTACTGACCAATTCTTTTATGAACACAAATGCAAAAAATACTCAAGAAAATACTTCCAAACCAATTCCAAGAACACATCAAAAATTTCATCCATCATGATCAACTAAACTTCATCCCAGAAATACAGGGATGGTCTTATGTATGAAAACCAATAAATGTAATCGACTACATAAAAAATGTAAAGATAAAAGCACGTGATTATCTCCATAGGTACAGGAAAGGTGTGAAAAAAGTTTAACATTCCTTCATGATAAAAGTCCTGAGGAGATTGGGGATAAAAGGGACATACCTAAACATCATAAAGGAAACCTACAGCAAGACAATGGTCAACATCAAATTAAATGGAGAGAAACACAAAGCAATTCCATTAAAATCAAGAGCAAGACAAGGATGTCCATTCTGTCAATCACTATTCAATGTAATATTTAAAGTTTTAGCTAGAACAATAAGACAACACAAGAAGACTAAGGGTACACAAAAGCATGGGGAGGCAGAAGTGGGGATTGTCAAAATATCGTTATTTCCAGGTGATGTGATACTATAAATAAGTAATCATAAAATTTCCACCAGAGAATTCTGATATCTGATGAACACTTTCAACAAAGTAGCTGGATACAAAATTAACTCACAAAAATTACAAAAATGTAGTTCTCCTACAAACAAAAGGCAAACCTCCAAAGAAAGAAATTATGGAAGCACGAACTTCCCAATAGACTCAAATAATATATCTTTTTTTTTAATGAAGACCCATAATAAAAATACTCCATTTTACAACCATTATTGTATATATGGATAAATCAACAGAATCTGCACACTAATAGAATACCAGAAGTCAGCAAATTGGCAGAATATATAGCATTTATTTGCAACTACAGATTGATGTCACTCATAAGCATTCAAGAACCGACATGAAGTTCCAAATAAAATAGTAACAAATAAAATCAAGATGTTACCAGGCCCAGGTGAAGGGAAGAGGATCCTACTACTCTTACTAAAACATTCTGGGAAACAGTAATTTATGTAGGAAATTGTTTTGTTTAAGTCAGACTTGGTGAAATGCACTAGAGACTACAAATCTCAGGGTAAAGTATTTCCAATTTCTGTGTTTCCCACTACTCCCGGGGCAGTAGGCTTAGGAGTTTTTATGTGTACAAGTTCTTCGTTCTCCCAGGGAAAAGGCCCTTTAACTACAGAGGAGAAGATTTTTGTTCCCCTTGGAGAAATAATATAAATGATACATTGATTGGAGGCTTATTCTTCTACACCGCAAAATTCTCCTCTAGGGCATTCATTTGAGTTCTGAAAAAAAATGATTCTGTAAGTGCAAAAACATCTATTAAGGAAATGGAATGGACAGTCATTCTAAAATTCTTTCCCTGAAAGTCACTGCTGTGTAAAAGGGGTAGTTTATTACAGAACATTAAATAAACTAAAGAACTATGATTTATCTTTTATACCAAAGCCTAAAAGAGAGGAAAGGCTGAGCTCTTTTGATAAATTTCTTTTCATTTCTTTTCTATAATTGCTAGCCTGTTCTGTTATATGCTATCTATCTATCTATCTATCTATCTATCTATCATTTATTTATCTATCCCTCTGACTATATGATATTTACAGAAGAAATATAAATTTTAAATGAACCAAACCATACAATTCTTCTTACTAGAACTACAAAATAAATAAATAAATAATATCTATTTGATGAAACACAATTAATACAAATTCTTCCCTTATTCATAATTTTTTAAAACTCTGTAAAGGAGAAATATAAATTTCCTCAATCTTATGGAGGATACCACAAAATGTTAGATGATGACTTTGTATTTACTGATATTCTCTGAGAGGCTCTGCCAGCACCTGAATAAGACAGATGCAGATATTCATATTGAACTGAGCCTTGGGACCCCAATAGAAGAGTTAGGAGCTGAAGGGGATTGCAACCCCATAGGAAGAACAACAATATCAACTAACCGAACCCCTCAGGGGTCTCAGGGAACAAACCAACAATCAAAGAGTATACATGAATGTGCCCATGGCTCTTGCTACATATGTAGCAGAAGACTGACTTATCTGGCATCAGTGGGAGGAGAGGCTATTGGTCCTGTGGACACTTGTTGCCCTAATGGAGGGGGATACTAGAGGGGTGAGACCGGAGTGGATAAGTGGGTGGGTGGGAGAGCACCCTCTTAAACACAAAGGGGTGGGAGGGTGGCGTGGGTGCCTGTAGACAGGAGACTGAAAAGGTAGAAAAATTTGGAATGTAAATAAATAAAATAATAATAAAAAATGTTCAAATTAGTATCAGTTTTGACTATTCAAATTCCTTTCCATTTCAGTATCAATTTTAGAACCCTTTGGATAAAGTGAATGCAACATTTTCCCTGGAAATTTTGATATAATTACATTGTACTATAGGCAAATCTTGGGAGATCTTAAAATACTGATTGTTGGAATCCATGAACAGAGTGAATTGATATTTATTTTATTTTATTTTATATTTCTTTTTCTACAGGTGTCATCATAGAGCTCTATCATAACCTTGGTCAAAATAATACCTACTATTTCTGCACCACTGTAAGGTTTAATTCTCATGTGCTAATTATGATATAAAATATTACTGATCTTTTATACATTAGGATATCTTTTATATTATATATAATATATAATTGATTATAAAATGTAATATATGGAATATAATTGATTACAATATATAGAATATAATTGATCTGTATGTATTAATGTTTTTTCTGGAAATCTTTTAAAGCTTGTGTAGGTATTTAGAAGCATTTTTATGTGTGTGTGAAATAGTTGGAATTTCTGTAGATAATAAAATGTAAATAAATATCTTACATCTTCTATGAACATTTAGAAAATTCTTATCTTGCTTCATTGGACATCATAATAAATAGTGTAGAGATTAGGCATGATTTTCTTCTTCCTCTCCTGAGGAAGAAAGCCCCGAATCACTCATCAGTAAATAATATGTATTTTTAAAGTAACCATATTGAAAAAAGTAAAAAAAAAAAAAAAACTTACATGATTTAAAATTTAATGTCTTTTGAAAGAAAGAGAAAAAGAAAAAGAAAGAGCAGAAGATTTAAAAAAATGTTTCATGCTCATGGATCAGTAAGATTCACATAGTAAAAATGGCCATCCTGCCAAAAACAATCTACAGATTCAATTCAATACCTAACAAAATTCCAACTCAAGTTTTAACAGATCTTGAAATGTCAATCTAAAACAATCTCGAACAAGAAAAGAAATGTTGGTTTCAAGTTGTAGAATAGAGCTATAGCAATAAAAACTACATGATATTAGCGTAAAGGTGTAGGGTGGTAGGCTGTGAGAGGCAGTAGGGTATGCAGTTGAGCCTACTTTGAACCCTGGAGAACCTAAAGGGATGGTAGGAGTTTGATGGTGCTCCTGAGCTTCCTGGTTCCTCTCACTTAGCTTCAGCCCTCCACAGCCTCTCCCACAGAGAGGTCTATGGCCATCAGTCACATAGGTATAGTGGCATGTAGATGAGGTATCTCCAAGCTCTCAGACCAAGCCAATAGAAGTTATCTGCTGCCAGACTCTAACCCACTCTAAAACTGTATATAAGAATCCTATTTGGGAGAAGTAAAGATGTGCGAGAATCATCTGGTTGTCCTAGAGTTTCTGTCGCAAGAGCTGTAACACTACAACTTGAGAAGAGATCTGCTCTCGCGAAGTGCCCTCAGGACACTTCCCATGCTTCTTGCTAGTTAGTCAGTTTCTCACTGGCTCATCCCAGACTGGCTCAGAGCACAGGGACAGGTGCAGCACCTGGGAACAACTGGGTGGCGACAGGAGAGACACAGGTAGAGGCAGCATCGGAGGCAACGGAGATGATTGCCCCTCCCTGCTTACACTCTATCCCCTTGGCCCAAACCCCATACCCAGCCAGGCCAGAGATCTTCATGGAAAGCCTTTTGGCACCAGGACCCACATGGGGCTCAAACAGCAACACAGCTGCAGAAACTGATATCACTAGAAGGTGAGCCCTCCAACTCTGGAGACAAACAACCTGTCCTTTCCTGCTGTGCTTTCAGTCAGTGCCATCTCATGGATTTAGATAAGCTAAAGGGGCAACTAAAGCTTCCTGGCCAGAGCTACTCTCTGGTGCTGGCTGAAGGTCCCCCTGGTCTCTGTTTAAATCCCAATAGGTCTCAACAGGAGTTGGCAAAGACTCTCTATCTAGACTCTCTTTAAAACAAAAAGAAAACCAGGTAATGCAGCAGCCACTTAAAAGCCACAAGGTGGCTGCCAATTCTTAAATCTGCAGGAAGGCTTAATGTTTTGGATCTCTGTGGAATCCCCCAAAGCCAATAAGCTAAGGGAATTTTCCCATTGGACAAATCATTTCTCCTCTTTTCTGTCATAGGCAACTCAACATCACATAAAAATCACTCCAGGCCAGGGAAATATGTGCCCTACTAAAATCCCATGGAATAAAAATAGCCAAAAAACAAGTCTCCTTGTTTTGGGAGGAAGTCCTTCAGATAGCACCATGCATGGCCAATGACAATATTTACAGCCCAGACTCATGGAGCAGAGTAGCTTCTCTCATCAACAACAGAGATACCAAAGAAGGAAAAACACGGTCTTCTGACTTTTTGCTGATCTTAGCCGCAATTCAGCAATGTATTGGGCCATCTAAAATAGGACAGACTGAGAACAATGCAGCTCCTGACTCCTCAGTCAAATAAACGCAAAGAACAAGGTCTCCCAAATCACCATATTTCAGACCTCACAGCCCTTACCAAACTAATAAGGGAAATAAAATCTATCTACCTACCTCTGCCTCCTTATGCCTGAGAGGAAACACTAAACAAACTATCTGCTCCTCTTGCCACTTCCTCCCTCAACCAAATCTAAGGCTCCATTAAAATACCAAAGGAGATCTCACCTGCCTCTCTCCTTACTCCACCAACTCCCATCCAACCAGGGAGAGCCTCCCAGTTCTCCAAGCCACAAAAGTGAAAGACCTTCAAAACTCATAGAAAGAACCCTGCCAAACTCCATAGTCCCTTACACCCAACCATCTACCACCCAACAACTTTGCAATTTTCAGGACTCTCTTGCAAAAACTAACCCTGTCTCCCATGCGACTCAGGAGTCTGATACAGAACTTGAAACCCAAAATGCTTGAGCATTCCTGGTTAATATCAACCCCACTGGAACTAAACCACTTAACTGGTACCCATTCCAAGCCTCAGACTTAAAAGAACTCAGGCAAGCAGTGAAGGAAGATGATATTCATGCACCATGAACAAAATCTCTCCTACAGAGCCATATTGCCAACGTAAACACCCACCAAGAATGGAGAGAGATTTGCCATTCTACCCTCCCTGCCCAAATGTTTCTAGAGTAGGAAGCCTTATTTCATGACGAATGCCGTCAACAAGGCAGACAAAACCGGGACAGAGGTGATGAGATCCCATGAGATTTTAATGAACTCTGTTCAGGAAGACTTTTCTACTGGATCATACCAGGCAACTCAGCCAGCAGGGTACTATAAGCAGGTCCACCTCTGTGCAACCCAAGCTTGGGATAGGGTCACTCCACCCTTGGCATCACAAGACCCTGCCTCCTCCCTGCTTTCTCTCCATCAGAAGCCCAGAGAATTCCCTATCTGATTTTATTCTCAGAACTAAAATGAGCTTAGAAAGAAAAATTTCCAACTCCACAGCTAGGGACCTCCTTCTTAAAACCATTATTTGGCAATGTATGACTTCTGAGTCCAGACTAGCTTTCCAGGGTCTCCAGGAAGAGCATCATGATAGGTGGATTGTGACAACCCACGATATAGGAACTCCATCACACCAGATTGAATCCATGATACAGGCATTTGTAGCAGCAGCAAAAACAAAAGGAATCTGCTTCAAATGTGGAGAGGCTGGACACTGGAGGAATGAATGTCCACATCCTCCAGCAGTTGTGGGGCTGTGGCATGCATGAATTTGGGTCCCACATGTCTGCTGCCCCAAGGGGCTAGGGCCTTGGATCAGGCGGCAGAAGAGCAGGTTTTCAACTGTGTGCACTCCACAGGGCACCAGGCAGAGAGCTGAGCCTTGGCTGGTTCCAGTTGCTTGCTTGAGTTGGCAGGCCTCCGTGGCTGGAATGTAGAGGGGTCTTCAGTGGGAGGTTAGGTGGTAACTCAGTAGTTGAAGGTCTTCTCCACAGTTCCGCACAGTGGACCCCAATGATGAGAGGTAGTCCATGATCTTAAAACATTTATTGTCATGGCAGAAAGTGGATGAAGCTGTAGTCTATGTTCTCAGGGTGGGCCTGAGGTTAAATCCCTTTAGCAAATAGGAGGGTCTGGAAAGGAATGCTTAATTGGCTATGTCTTCTGCCCTTTAGGTATCTTATGAAAAAGAAGATGTTTTGAGGCTCTGTGGCCTGTAGTCATGCCCTCTACCTGTGGAGGGGCTAATAGGGGCATTGTCCTTTGTACCAGAAAGGCACAGATATATGGAGGTCTTCAGCCTCATGTCAGGAGCCTGGAGTCTGGGAGCATGGTGAAATGTATACTGTCCCTTGCAGGGAAACCTGTGAGGTCTCCAATCTTCTGAGTCTCCAGCCATCTTTAGCCAGTGCTTGATGACAAACCATGCAGTCCTTTCACAGTCCTACTATTCTGCATTTACTTTAAAAAAAAAAAAAAGCATCACTGGAGTGACTGTGTCATTTGTATTGAAAATTTTGGAGGAGGTGGAAGTCAAGAGAAAACACTACACAGGCTGTAGGGGGTAGCACAATTAAGTCACAGACTAAGGAGGGATGAGGGTGGTGGTTGGGAAGGCAAGGAATCAATGAACCAATTAATTGTTTTACGGGTTGTATAGTTTGATGGTAATAACATCTGATTAATCTAGATAAACATTATGTTTTCCTTACTAATATGTAATTTTCTCCAAGTTCAGTAGCCATTTGACTTTGGCAAGAGAATTCATCTGTAGCTGGAAGATCTAAGTCTGTCTGATGTAGGACTCAGCGAATGTCTCTGGATCTCAGTGTGTGTCTCAGGAGTCTTCAGTCTGATTAGGTGTCTGGAAGAAGGCAGCTTGTTGTCCCAAGCAGGTTCCAGGAGATGGCATTGTCTCCACTGGATTTGTGGCAGCAGCACTGTCCTTTTACTTTGTTTAGGTAATCTGTAATGTAATCTCAAGAGGGGAGCAGAACCTCAGCAGGGGGATGTCCACAATGGGTGGGTAGCAAGCATTAAGCTACTTGGGAGCACATCATGATCTGCCAACATGATCCTAGAAAAGCAAAGGTGTTTGGGGAAATTTAGTCTTGGAAGGCACCTTTGAGTCTGCTTTGGATGACTGAGGAGGAAAAACATCATGTTAATTATGTATCTGGGATAGGCAGCAACAGTTTTTCTGTAAAAGGAAACTGGTTGTTAATTAAGGATTGAAAAATGGTGATCAGCATAGTTGATTTGACCTGTGGAACTATATTAGGAGACTTTTGAACCTCAAAGAAATCTGAATCAAATTGAAAAATCTTGGACATATATCACAAATGCTAGAGGGAAAAAGAAACATTTAAATAAAGAAGCAAGAAAATCTTGGGTTGAAAAGCACAAACATCGTTTCAGTTTATTCGTATAGGTAGAACAAGCATTAAAAACTTGGGTTAAGGGTCTCAGGTGTGCTTCTCTATTGTCCTTGGCAGGTTTAAATGCAGTGGGTGACGGGCCTGCTCTGCCATGTGGTGGCTTGAGTGCTCTAGCAGAGACGTCTCCTGTATTCCCCATTTGTTTTTTTCTTAGCTGGTAAATCCTAAATGTAGAAAAGGAGAAGAAAGATCAACCTTGAAGAAAAGCTTAAACGAAGAAGAATAAAAGTTTGATAGGACAGTCAGAGCCAGAAGGAGTCAAAGGCTGTGGAAAAGACTTGACCCATGAGGGGAGAAATGTGGAAGCTGGGTTGGAGCCTGCGCTTCTGAGAGCAGTTCCTTCTGGCCCAGCCTGGAGTTCTCAGTTGCAAGAAAGAAACTGTCTCAAAAGGAAAGAGGAATCTCTCAGCCAATGGAAAGGATCCTAGAACAAGGGTCAGGGCAGACACTACCATCTGAAAGGCAGCTGTTAGCTGTGAAGGAGCCCTTTCTGGGGCTGAGGGATGGGCAGAGACTGGAGGCTAGGGGACTCCTGCCATCTTCCCAATGAGTTGGAGGCTGTAGCTAGTGATCAAAGGGAAGAAGCTGGCCAGGAACATGTGGAGAGGAAGAGAGAGAGAGAGAGAGGGGCGGGGCAGACATATATCCACATACGTATGTCCATCTGATTCTTGATAAAGAAGTCAGAAATATACAGTAAGTACAAGACAGGATCTTCAACAAATGATGCTTATCAAACTGGTTGACTACAAGTAGAAAAATGTAAATAGATCCATACCTATCATGCTGAACAAAATTCAACTCCAAATGTATCAAAGATATGAACATAAATTCAGACAAACTGAATGATACAAGAGAAAATGAGGAATAGTCTTGGATGCATTGGTATAGGAGACTTTCTAAACAAACTACTAATAGCACAGGTACTAACATCAACAATTAAATTGAGCCTCAAGACATTAAAATACTTGTACAAGACAGAGAAAACTCCTTCAGGCAAAGCAACAGCCGACATAGTGGCAAAAGAATTTTACCAACTACACATCTGAAAGAAAACTGATATCCAAAATATAAAATGAAATCAAGAAACTCGATACCAAAAATCAAATAACCCAATTTAAACAGGAAGTTTTCAATAGCTAAAACTCAAAATGGCTGAGAAATATTCAACCTCCATAACCATAAGAGAAATGCAAACCTAGTTTTCATTTGCATGGAAATATCACATATATTTAGATTTACTTTGAGATTTCATCTTACTACTTTCTGAATTCCTAAAATTAATGATAAAAGTGACAAATCATGGTGGAGATGGAATGCACAAACAAAAACACTCCTCCTCCATTGCTAGTAAGAGTGCAAACTTGT